GTCAGCCTTCCTGCTCCTCTGATGCTGCTTGGCCTGCTGTGTTCATCCAGCTCTACACCTTGTTATCTCAGATTCTCCAGCATCTGCAGTTCCAACTATCTCTGAATCAATTCTACCAATAAGTTTTCTGAAAACATTGACCATAAAAAGCCATTTGTTCAACTGAACTCATACTTTCCAAAGATTTATCATGTACTGAACTGTATTTAATTTTAAAAAGGAAATTTCTGCAAATCTTCTCCCTGTTAAAATGCCTCTGCATCCCCATATACTTAGTACACCATCCAGACTTGAACTATCTCACCATTCCTTCATTGTTGTTGGGTCAACGTCCTGGAACTCCCCTCCCAGTAGCATTGTAGGTGATCATATCTTAGAAGTTCCGCAGTTTTTCAAGAGGCAACTTCTCCTGGGCAAAGGATGGGTAATATACACTGCCTGAGCCAGCGACATCTACATTCTTTGCACAAATAAAAGGGCAACTTGCACTTAGCAGCATTGACATATCGAATTTTGAAAGATAGTTTCACTCTTAAAAATGAATCTTGTTTGATTTAGCCATCTTCGAGCAAATGAGACCAGACTGCTCAGTACTCTGGTCTTTCAGGAGACTAATGTACCCTTATCTTTTCACCGTTACCAATTGTCTCCAAAAAAAGCTTTCTTTTGTTATCTCTGTCTCTATTTCCAACAATAAAACATTTCCTTCCTCCTCCCTAGGATTTGATCATCTTCAAGTTGTTTCTGGTTTTTCCCTAACCATTCCCACATGCCCACCAAACCAATCACAGTTGTGTTGAAAGAAAAGGTGCAACATCTGAGGAGAGGGAGCTATTTACGAAGAAAACTAGTTTGGTGACTAGTAAAATACTTTGGGTGATCAATGATTAGTATGATCCCATTCATGGGATCATAGCTGAGGTGAGCTTGAGGGAGGGCATGGTAAGGAGTGGGGAGTAGCGGAGAAGTGAGAGATGGGGAGAAGCTAGAAAAAGGCAAGAGTTTGGAGTTTGAGCAAAGAAAGCTAATGTACGTGCATACATTAAAAATGAACAGCAAGCAACACCTTGATCAATGTGCCAATGTGTCCCTGTGCGCAGGTGAAACAGGAATTAATCTCTCTATAACTTGTTTGAGTAACTATTTCACTTGAATAATCATTAAAACATTCATTGACCATTGCAGTTGGCAGAGCCCTACTGTTGAATATTATTCTACATCGTATTTCAAGGTAAAAACTCCCAATATTGCCAGTATCCTGTTATGCGTCAGTGTAGATATAATGGGCCAAATGTCCTTCTCCTGCACTGTAACAATTCTGTGATTCTGTTTTATTCTAGGATCAAACATTCCGCTGGTAGCTGTCATGGTAGATAATTCTTTCCCATTTAAATGACCACTTAGCATTCTTCAAGTGTGAACTTGGACAGTTAAACCTAGATTTTCAGATCAGAGTTTGAGTCAAAGCAAAAGGAAAATCTTGCCAAGTTAATTAGAGATCCAGAAGAGTATTTGACTTCATACTTATCACGTTTCCAAACAGTACTGCCACTTACCAGACTTTTAGAAAACTTAGCTATAATATTTTAGCTTCAATGCATTTATTCCTTTGTATTCTTTTGGACCTTTTTGTAAACAGGGTGACCTGACATTGTATTCTGATCCTTAAACAGTAACTGTTAACAATTGTCTGATTATTTTTGTCCTCGTGTTTTGAAAGAGAAAATTTTAGCTTCATGGTGCCTTATACCTTGTATCTCTGTATATAATTTTACATAGAATGGTTTAGTATATATTTTCTTCACTACCATCCTAATTACCATTTCATCTAAGCCATGATATATATGTTGCACTTGGCATTCATTTCATAAGAATTACAAATATCTCAAATTAAGTTAGAGAATTTATTGGAGTTTAAAAGACACTCTAAGGTTTTGGAGTAGATTTGTAGCTCGGGTTGTGAATGTTGTGGTTGGTTGGCTCACCGAGCTGGTTTGTTGTTCCGCAGACGTTCCATTACCCTGCTGGGTAACATCATCAGTGCAGCCTCCGATGAAGAGCCGTTGTATTTTCCCACCTGGTTTTTAAACTCAGGAGTCCATTGAGCTGGATTACCTCACTTCCGGTTTTCCTTCACAATGGAGTTAATATGGGGTTGAGTTCAATGTATTTGTTGATGGCTTTCTTTATGGAGTAACAGGCTTCTAGGAACTCCCGTGCCTGTCTCTGCTTTGCTTGCCCCAGGATCTTGGTGTTGTCCCAATCGAATTAGTGGTTCTCCTTATCCATGTGGATAGGACATTAAAAGGCATTTGGATAAGACAATGAATAGGAAAGGTTTGGAGGTACATGGGCCAAACGCAGGCAGGTGGGGACTAGTTGAGTTTGGGAACTAGTTGAGTTTGGGAACATGGTGGTCGCGGACTGGTTGGACTGAAGGGTCTGTTTCCATGCTGTATGACTGTAACAGATTTATCTTGGGGCCAAGGATCAGCGAGCAAGAGTTGAAAACAATTGTCTCAAACTAGAAGACAACCTATGCTCATGACAGTTGTTGATGATGAGAGTGGAGAGATAGGGAAGAGGATTGAAGAAGATCATAATAGAGAAGAGAAATGGAGTTGTTATCTTTTCATCTCCTGGAAGAGTGAATAGCTTTGCAAAGTGAATGAGAAATGTAGGGAATTAAGCTGTGGCCCATACTTGGGATACAGTGGAGAAGAAAGGTAGTAAAGGTTTTGTTGCAGACAAGAGCATCAAAGGTGGTGGAAGTGTTCAAACAAACTGATGACTGCAGAAGTATTGTTGCAAATGGATGGGTAGTTGAAAATTTGGAAGCACGTTTTTCCAGTGATTAAAGAATTCTTTTCTAGTGGGCACAGGGCCTTTGGTTGGAAGGAAGTGAAGGCATATGGATGGTGAAGCATTTAAAGAAGTGATCAGCAATGGCCTAATCAATTTTATTTATTCAGCCAATGTGGGCATGCATACAAGCCCAATAATTGCTGTCTTTCCCTCGTTGTTCTTCAAAAAGTAGTTGCCTTGCTTTTGTTCACTGAAGTCTTTATGTGAAAATACTTTCACAGTGCTATTTAATTTTGACTCTGTGATGATGAAAGAAACCACTTTATACATCCAAGTCAAGATGGTATATAACTGGAGAATGTGTGATTCTAGTGTGGGGATAGGGTAGGGATGACAGTCAGTGATCTATTTATTGTTTGAGGTGCAGGTGAAGAAACATTAAGTTGCTTTAGTGAATCTAATAAATAGAACACACTGTAGCTATGGTGTAACAGAACCAGAAATTATGGCAAGGTTGAAGGGGTGACCTTGATTATGGGTGGGAGAGTCTGTATGAATGGAAACCTTTAGGGAGGACAGGAAGGCAATGATATCAGCAAAAGTTAAGCAGAGCTAAATGGAAGATTGAAATCATTGAGGATCAGTCCACCTCTCAGTGCAGATGCTAAGGGCAGTAAAGAAGGTTAAATATGATAAATGCAGAATCAAGTTTCTTAACAGTTAATTTTTAACAGAAACATATTATTTATTACCATGACAAACTAACCATTCTAACTGAAAGTTGATACAAGTGTGTAATATTCATCTTATTAAAGGTAATTACAAAATTATTTGCCTACGAATCACTTTGTGTACAATTTAACTGAGAAAACCTAATGAAATGTGAAAATACATTTAATAGTTGTTGATTTGTAGAGAACTATGAAAAAAATGCATAGACTCCGTGAGAATTGTTGACATTTAATTCTAATGCAGATTAAAATTACTGATCCTGATGACCAACGGAAAATTTTGGAAGCAGTTTGTGAAATGCAGCCAGAAGATCTACAAGTTGCTCAGTTACCTTCACTGGACAATTTTGATTGCAGGTAATACAAATAATGAAAGGAAAAGCTATTTTAAAGTAAAAGATAAGACAGATACTTTTCTAACTGCATAGTCGCAGTTTTAAACAAAAAGTGATGTATTGCCAAACTACCATTATATTTTGGCGCAGTGCTGCACTTTATAATTTATTTTAACCTCAATCTGTGTAATGCTGTTATTTTAAAAAGGCACAATAGTAAGCAAGTGCTGCATTGTTTGAGGTACCATCTTTTAGAACATTCAAATGTCTGAAGACATGCTTAAAATATCCAATGGCATATTTGAAAAAAATTAATAAGGCAGGATGTTTTGCCAGTAAACTAATGAGCACTTCTTACTTACTTTAAAAAAAGTGAGAGAACCTTCTTTTGTTTGTGGGACAGTCCGTTGCCATGGTTTCTTACATAACGGTACATGTAGTAACTTCAAAAGCAGGTTGTTGGTTGTGAGCACTTTCAGATGTTCCAAGAAAATTATTCTATACAAATGCAAGTTTATTTTTTTTAATTCAGCGAATAATTAAGGCTATTATTGTAGGAAGTAGACCAGACACCTTTTACTTGCTATTATTGAGTAGATTTAGCTGATGATACAGTTCAAAATAATGGGCGAACCCACTTGGGAAAATTCACTCGAGGGTGACATTCAAAGAAAAGTTGTCATCATAAGTTGAATGGAGAGAAATGATGAGCTGCTTTTCCAGTCACAGGCTGGTTTTCTATTTCTTTCTTGATGCTGATAGATTTACTGGTTGTAATAAAGCAGAGCTGACCTCCCTCTCATAATTCAAACCAAACACCTAGGGAGTAGCACCTCGCCTTATAATCTGTTAAAAGAGCCCCCAATCTGTTATAAAGGAGTGGTTAGTTAAAAATAACCCCCTGACACACACTCTTTGTAATTAACAAGTAACAATTTATTTATCCAACTCTAACAGTGAACAAATTAGCTAAACTATTAACAAACCGAATAAACCCTTTCTAACTACTAACTATTCCAGAATAAAACAAGATTATAATGGTATGCTGTTCCAATAAATACAAGTCACACTTGTATAAAATGAAATAAAAGAGTTAGATTTTAGTCTGTAGAAATTACAGCCAGATTATGTGTTTTCCGGAATGTTCTGTGCCTTCTTCAACAAATTCTTTTGTCAGGAACGCCTTCTCTGTCAAATTCTTTTGTCAGGAACATTAACTACTCGTGCAGTAAGTACCTTTAATTTAGATGGAGCATACTCTAAGGCATAGAGAATTCTGTGAGAGCCAGTGATTCCTTTAGAGCTGAGAGCTATTCCCTTGGCAGATGACAGTTAGCTCTCCGCTGATTTTGCAACTGTCCCCATCTTTTACACCCTTGATGACATATCAATTTCTTGTAATAGAATTGGTCCTAGGTTGTCAAAATCATCAGATTTAAACTTAATTGGTTTTTAGTATCTAAATGCCTGGTTTAAATTAATTGGCTAAATCAAAACTTGTTGTCATGATAACAAAACAAAACTGCGGCTTGGCCTGCTAACCATCCAGCCTTTAATACAAATGTTACAATTCAGGTGTCCTGTGCACCTGCAAACCCACAAGCTGCCCACAGACGTTTAATCTCCAAGCCTAGAAAACACACATCATCTTTTAAGGGGACCAGACACTGCTTTTCCCCCTATCATTTTATAAACATCAATATTTTACAAACTCATTTTATAAACATCAATATTTTACAAACACCAAATTTTAGCATCCTGCCTTCCAGTCCATAAGTACTCTGCTGAACTTTGCAACAAACCCAGATGACTGGTTGGAGGAGCAGCAAGTAGTTTTTTCTCTTTATTCATTCATGGGGATGAGGGCATCGCTGGCCAGGCAGCATTTATTGCCCATCCCTAATTGTCTAGAGGGCAGTTAAGAGTTAATCACATTGCTGTGGGTCTGGAGTCACATGTAGACTAGACCAGATAAGGATGGCAGTTTCCTTCCCTAATGAACATTAGTGAACCAGATGGGTTTTTCCCAACAATCAGCAATGGATTTATGGTATTAATTACACTCTTAATTCCAGATTTAAATTCCACTGTCCGCTGTGGTGCGATTTGAACCGGGTCCCCAGAACATTATCTGGGTCTCTGGATTAATAGTTCTGCAATAATACCACTAGACCATCGCCTCCCCACCAAGTTAAGTATGTAAGTGTTGGCAGTGAGGAAATTGTCACGAGAGCATCCACCCAAAGAAGGTAGGAGGCATATTGGAGGCTACAAGGAAGGTGGGAGAAGACAGGGAGGCTCCTGGATTGTTGGGGATTTACGGAGACTACAAAGACGAGGGTGAGAAGGAAATGCCATGGTAGATGAGGGAAGGCATACTGCAAGGAAGACAGGGGGCCAGGGAGGCTGCAAGAAAGATGGGGGCAGAGACAGGACAATATCAAGGAAGCTAGGAGGGAGGATGTAAGGAATGTGGGGGGGTGGAGAAACGGAGGACACAAGGAAGGTGGAAAACAACAGCGGGGGGTGAAAGGAAGGTCAGGAAGGTCAGGGAGATCAGATAGGCTGTGAGGAAGGTAGGAGAGACAGGACTGCTCTGTCCCAGATGTAGAGACACTATGTGCCTCAAAACTCTTAGACAACAATTCTATGTTGATGGTTTCTTAGGTTTTGGAGTAGATTTGTAGCCGGGTTGCGGGTGTTGAGGTTGGTTGGCTCACCAAGCTGGTTTCTTGTTTCGCAGACGTTTCGTTACCATGCTTGGTAATATCCTCAGTGCAGCCTCCGATGAAGCATCGGTGTGTTTTCTCGCCTGAACTTCCCAGCACACACAAACGAAGCTGCGTGCAAACACTATTTAAAAGGGCAACAACACACTGCAGCAGCACAGAACTACGCCAAGAGGAAGAAGAATACCTCTTCCGAGTGTTCAAGGATAATGGATATCCAAAGAACTGGGTCAGAAGATGCCTACACGAAGAGCATCAGAAAGATACTACACAGCCCGACACACTCATCACACTACCCTACATCAGGAACACGTCAGAACTCACCACAAGACTCCTACGACCGCTGGGTGTCAGAGTGGCACACAAGCCCACATCAACCCTACGACAACTGCTCACCCGAACTAAAGACCCACTCCCTGCCACGGACAGGACCAATGTCATCTACAAGGTCCCCATCAGAGACTGCGAGAAACACCACATCGGACAACCAGGAAGGAAACTAACAACAAGAGTACATGAACACCAACTGGCTACAAAAAGACACGACCAATACTCACTCATCTCAATCCACATGGACAAGGAGAACCACCACTTTGACTGGGACAACACCAAGATCCAAGATCCTGGGACAGGCTAGGCAGTGACAAGCATGTGAATTCCTGGAAGCATGGCACTCCACGAAGCAGGCTATTAATAAACACATGGAACTCGATCCCATATACATTCCACTACGAAGGAAAACCAGAAGTGAGGCAATCCATCTCAACGGACCCCAGAGTTTAAAAACCAGGCGGGAAAACACACCGACGCTTCATCGGAGGCTGCACTGAGGATGTTACCAAACATGGTAACGAAACATCTGCGAAACAAGAAACCAGCTCAGCGAGCCAACCAACCTCAACTATGTTGATAGTATTAAACGATAGTGACCCACATTCTCCCCAAAATTACCCATTTAATTTTCTCTGGTTCTAGATCTTGCTTTGAAGAAAGGAACATTAATATTTCCCTTCTGATTCAGTGTAGCTAATAGAAATGTAGTTACTCGATTGGTTAATTCATATTAAAAGGTATGGGGGAATGTAGGAACAGTAAAATGATCAGACTTGATCATAACGAATGGCAGACAGGCCCAATGGACCAGATAGCTTATTCCTCCTGTTTTGTGTTTCTAATTGCAAAGTTTTACAGATCAGAATAAGCATTTCGTTATTTTAAAATCATTATAAAATACAAAAATATTGAAAGTTTTTAATTATTGTTAAGGGATGAAAGTAGTGCACTGACCTTGAAGTCAAGAAAAGTAATTTTTCAAAATTCTATTGGGGCAAAGTTAAGCAACCTGCAGGGAGAATGTGGGAAAGAAGCACAAGTTGTTGAAAAGGCACATGAAATAAAACTAAAACTGTTCTAACTTCAATCATTTGAAAGTAAAAATTAAAATGAAGAATTTGATATCACTAATGTATTAATATCTCTGGATATTAAAGACTAAAACATCCATTTAGATGTAAGATTGTTATTTTAACCATGAGAATTATTTTGCAATGAAAACTTTTGTCTCCATTTTTGTTATGACCTAAGAATTCATGAAACTGCTGAGGTCATTCATCAGTAACAGATTATTGTCAGTGTGTAGATGTAGATTTTAGACGGTTCACATTATTGATGCTCTTCAAGCAAATATTGTAATTAATGACTTCCTTGGAAGACCTTGCCATAAGCAGACAGGCATTGAAAACCTTAATTCCCTCTGCCTCTCTGCAAATATGCCTATGTTCACAGAATGTCCCTGAGATTGTCAGAAAGTTTGGATTTAGGTTATGGATGACAGAGGGAATGAGATCAACCATTATCCTGTCTTCCAAAATAAGCCATGCTTTAATTAATTCAATGTGAGCACCTTAACCACCTTAACTCTGACAAAGTTCTTTTGAAATTTAGTGTTTTGAATGAAAACATTTTGCTAAGATAATGTTTATCATAATTTGTAATGTAAATTGTGAGCACAAGACACAGTTTGTTCCATTTCTGTGTCAAACGTGTGCTTGAGATAGGTTTTGTTTTCCTGAAGTGCTCCAAAAGGAGAGATTTCTTGTTCAATTTTCTTCATTATCAAATATTTATCAGCTATATTCCATGTTGAAGTTACAAAGAAGATTTTAACTAAATTTTATTCTATTTCTTGATAGATGAAGTTTTTTTTTAACTTGTTCAACTGTGTTGCTTTTTTAAGATTAATCTTGGTATGATAATACAACAGTACATCAAATCCAATTGGTACTGGTCATTT